TAAAGTGAAAGTATGGAAGTATATATATATACCTACGACTTAACAAAAAACAAGAACAAAAAGAAAGAACTTAAAACAAATCAAGAAAAAGGCATTAAGAACTTACCGGTGAATTTCGGAGAAGACAACTCTAGTAGAAGACGAACTTTGTAGAGCAATGAGAAAAACAGTGAAGAACTGAAGACAAGAATGTCACGAATTTATAATAAGAACTGAATAGTCCTAGTCCTGTCCAAATTATGTTTCCTAAATCAATCGTAATTAACTGACTAATTTAAAGTGATTTAAACTTCTTGTTTCCTAAATGGATAGTAATTTTAGTTGATATCCAACTGTATATGGTTTCTTGTACGTCAATTAATCAACGGCAACTGATTTGAATTTGAACTTGTAAATGTGAAGACCAAAACGGTGCCGTATCACTTAACCAACATGCTGTCGTTTCAAGTATGAATCTGGACCATTAGTTTTGAGAAGATCCAACGGGTGTGATTAGTCCATAGTGGTCAACGGTATATAAGTGAATTTTCTCTTTTTTTGTGGGCAGTCTGAAGTTTCGATTAAACTGTTTAGGTTTTGTGCTCTGCTAGGGTTCATCCTTGTTCTGAAATCTTGGATCTGTGTAACTGATTGAGTGAGTGATTGGTCATTCTGTTAGAGGGGTTTTGTCTCTCTATTGGCTGGGATTACAAGTGTATAGGTTCCAGGGCTATTAGTTACCAGATAGGGTGATTTCGGGTTTGATTGAATCTTTCGATCTTGCGTCTGTAATCTGTAAAATACTTTTCTGATAGTGCAGTGGGCTTCGACCTTTCCGGAGCTCAACGTGGACGTAGCCTTCCCAATCTTGGAAAGGTGAACCACGGTAAAATTGTGGTGTTCTTGATCTTCTGTGATTGTGTTTGATTTGGTTAAANCGTATGCGACTCAGGTAGAATATCATAACTTTGAAGCCCGTCGCTTAAGTTCAATATTGCTGACTTTTAGTTTTTTAAAAATTACAGATAATCCACTTTTATATTTACAGTTAAATAATTATAAAAGAGGAATACCATAAATACTTTATTATTTTAAAATTCTGTATATAATTCTTTTGAAATTTTTGATATAAAAATTCTTCCTTACCATTAATATAACAATTTCTTAATAAATAATTATTTATAATGTTAACTATAGAAATTTTTTATTCATATAAAGGATTGCACGCAACACGTAAGATAAATAAATATAACAATATATATAAGCAAATGAGTTATATATATAATTCTTTTCAAATTTTTTTTTTTTTTTTTTTTGAAAAGTAAAATTATATAAAAGAAAAAAAAATGTACAATATACTAAGGATATATCCTAAAGGAATGTCAAAACCGACCAAAACAGATGTGCTTATCTTTTTACACACATAAAAACAAAAAATGGACATAACCACTCAGAAGAAGCATGCAAGCTCTGTACAAAAAGAGAGAGAGGGCATAGACACTTTAAGGGAGCGCGTAGACTCTATACAAAAGAGCGGGGAGGCACAAGCGCCCTATACGAATAGGGCAAGTTCTGTACAAAAGAGAGGGGAGGGACAAGCACCCTAAAGAGCACGCAAGCTCTAAATAAAGCAAAATCAATTAATCTTTTGAAAATTTTGACTAATATAACAATTTCTTAATAAGATAAATATATATTTATAATGTCAACTATATAATTTTTTTATTCATCTAAAGGATTGCGCACAACACGTAAGATAAATAATATAACAATATAATACAGTAAGAAAAACTTTAATTACCCTGTTAAACAAACCCCAAACTGACTCACCAACAACCCAATACAATAAACAAAGCTTCAACTATCCAGGAAATGCAATTTCCGGGCTCTGCCCGGTCGCGAAGGGAGGAATTTACAGATAAATCTCGAACTCCTTCCATATANCTTTCCGGAGCTCAACGTGGACGTAGCCTTCCCAATCTTGGAAAGGTGAACCACGGTAAAATTGTGGTGTTCTTGATCTTCTGTGATTGTGTTTGATTTGGTTAAAATCTGTGGTTTGTGAGTGTGTTATTCTAACAGAACTACTAAGTTGGCGAAGTTTAATTTCAAGTGATTTAAATTTTAAACTTTTGCGCTGTCCTTACTTTGTTTAACAGGCTTCAGTATGATTTCTGTGGCTACCAAAAGAAATCAGTTCCAAGACTGATAAAACGAGTGTCAGAGAAAAGATTCATTCCCACTGCCTTGGATTAGCTGGATGATGTTCTATTAAAACTTTTATAAATTAGAAATTATCTCTACGTATAATATTGTAGTGGGTAATGGCATAAACTGCCTAAAAGATACTCCAATATGACGGTCAAACGGGGGGGCATTCAATTGGAGAACTGTCGAATGGAGGAAGATCAAGGAGGTGGAGGGGACACATTTCACATCCACTTACTAAGAGGGACCGTAACAGGTTGAAGCGCTTTAAAGTCTCCAGGATCGTCGAAAAAAGTTGCAGAATTGGGTAAATAAGAAGGCATAGAGTTGGATTAGAAAAAATTGCCCTAAACCTAAAATATGAGATTAACGTATTAAGGATAAAATGGTAAATATCACCTAAAATCACAAGGATGTACAAGTGTACAACCTTGCCAAACAAAACCCAGACAAAAAAGACCAGGTGTAGGCAAAGAAACTACAACAGCTAAAAGACAACAAACCAGGGAGAACCACTACATCCTGTTATACATATGAGACAGCCAACACCTTTTGTAATCCACCAAACATAGCTCCAGATGTAGAGAACGAAACCCACATCAACAACGATAATTATTAATCATCCAAAATTGACGAAACAAATTTTGAGGTGGTGCAAATATATCTATATATCTAATTGTTTGGTTTGTGCATTTTGTATCTATATTGAAATGTATAGGTTGTTAATATTGGATATGATGAGTATTTCTCTTAGTCTTGACGGATTGTCTGCCTATGACGATTCATTAGGTTTCTATTATGTATTTTTTTGTAATAGTGAAAAATCTAAAGTGTGAGAATAGAGAAAAAAGTAAGCTGCCGATGTTGTTCATCTTGGTATTTTACAATTTTCTAATACTCAATAAAATCCTTCTAATTAAATGTTGGACGTAGTTCCTTGAAAAAAGAATGAACATAGATAAATTATTGTGTTCTGTTATTATTTTATACTTTTCTCATAATGTGTTTGCTTTCGTTTCAACAGTTAATTTATCAGATTTCATTATAGATGGTCTATTAGGATCTTCATGAATTCAAAACCACTAAGCTTGATTCGTGCCAGAGAATCATATATATATATATTCGTCCTGAAAGTATAAAAGTTTTTATAAAACTCATTAGAGGAACTGGGGAAGGTCTCCCTGTTGAGTCATGTTTGATTTTGTCTTATAATATTCTATATTCTACTATTTGATGACATCTGTTTTCTAAATGTTCTAAACGTGTTGAAATCTCTTAAGTCGTAGTCTGTTTATCATTCACTTTAAGAAGAATTTCAAAGGAACTGATCTTTATATAAATTTCATTAATAATTCATTAAACTTTTGAGGGTTGAATTGATCCCAAATCCACGAGAGATTTCACCATGAAAGACAGTAACAAGTTCAGAATGAAGAAAAGTAACACCAATAAAGAACCAGAGACCGGTGGGTCTGACTCCTCACCTAAAAATGTCTTATTGAATGAGAGGATTATCTTTTCTTATAACTCAATAGACTTGAACGTGCCTAGTCGATGTGGAACTCCAACATTCTCAATCACGGTCAAACTCACATGTTGGGTCATGTCTGTTGATGAAGATAGTTGCTGGCTCTAACTCCTCATCCGCTAGTCAAGTGCTTAGCTCAACTGAACCTAGGCTCTGATACCATAATAAAATTTGATGTGGACCTAACTCCTAACCCAATAAAGTCTTGTTGAATGGGAGGATTACCCCTTCTTATAACCCAATAGACTTGAGCGTGCTTAATCGATGTATGACTCCAACACAACTTTAGTCAAAGTATATATTCTTTCTTTCTTCAACATTATCCAGAATGATTTTCAACACCCCATCGTTTCAATCAACACCGTTCATTTACATATCAATATAAAATATATAATAGATAACTAGTGATGTAAAATCAGCATAATAAAAAGTTTAAGATTCTTTTAGGTGTGTTCTTCCATATTTGAGCCGCAGAGAAACGAAAAGTTGTTTTGACTGCTTAATTAATTAGTTAAATAAATTATGTTAAGCTCATGGAGTCTTACTTAATACAATGAGCGTACCCACAGAACTAAACTGGGCTATTATTATCTCATGTTTTTTCAAAGTGAATGTGGAATTTATGCTTTTTCTCTTTCCTTTCCATGGGATCTCTTCGGTCTCCTCGATTTTGTCAATCCTCCTTTTCTAAATTGGACTATTTTTATCACATGTTTCTTTAAAGTGAAAGTGGAATTTATGCTTTTTTTTTTTTTTTTTTTTTCTTCCTTTCCATTCACTTAGATCTCCTCTGTCTCCTCGATTTTGTCCGAAATCTCTTTTTCTAAATTAAGCTATTCTATTTTTATTGCATGTTTCTTTAAAGTTAAAGTGGAATTTATGCTTTGTTTTTGTTTTTTTTCCTTTCCATTCACTCGAATCTCTTCAATTTCCTCGATTTTGTTAGGATCCTCCTTTTCTTTCGAAAAATAAGAAGGAAAATGATCTTCTTTCATGAATACCTCTTGTTTTTGTTTAGTTCCTCTCGTTTTGAAAGTTGTTTAATACAATGAGTGCACCACAGAAGTTATTTTGGTCAATTAGTAAAATACTTTTCACATTAATTTTTCATTAAAAAACTATGAACCCTGTTATTAATTAATTAGAACAAATCATATATTCAACTGTTTATTCAAAACTTTTCGTTAATGAAATATAAAGAGCACATGCATGCATATACAAATTCTTTGAGAGTTGTTATTCCTAATTTACTTTAAAAACTAAAGTAATTAAAGAGAAGAGATAATTAACAAGTTTTCAAACTATTATCTCAAAAGAATAACATTGCATAATATCTTATAAAGTGATGTATCATCATCCATATCAACACGATATAGATATACATCAAGCGGCTGTCAAAAGAAGTTGACAAAGTTTATGAAGAGTCAAATTTGTAGTATTTGTCGATAGCTATAGAAACATCCCAAGTGCAAGTTAGTCCCTTGGGGATGATCACAAGATCTCCTGCACCAAACTCTACAAAATCTGATGACCCTTTTGGAAACACTTTCACTTTGCCTTTGAGCAAGTAGCATGTCTCTTCTGAATCGTATTTAAAAGTATACTTTCCCGGAGGGCAGCCCCATCTGTGAAAGATCGAAGAAAGAAACAGAATTAAGAAACAAAAAACAATATATGATCAGCCTGCAGTAACAAGTAGTATATTTATATATATCTGCACTTACTTAGGCCAGGACTTGATACCCAATTCAGATAACTTGGAATCCGAGGGTTTGTTTTCAACTATGATGCCTATGTTGGAGGATGATTGAGGTCCTGATGATGTTTCCATGAAACAAAACTAGAACGCTAGAAGAATATGGAGAAACTGAAGAAGAAGGTGCTGAAGAGAAAGAGTTGGTTTTGGCTTCTTTTTTAGTCTGCGAGGTAAAGGGTGGTTGGCCTGCTTATATAATATATTCATAGGTGTTTGTTTGAAGACAAGAGAAGTGGAATCTTTCCATTGCATTTCATTTAACCATGAGGCTAATTCTAATATATTAATGAGAGTTAACACTGGATAAATTAATAACATCTATTATATAATAATTTTTTATAGTCCCAACTAATTAATTAATTATGATATTTTATTAAAGTATGATTTTATTTTTACTTGTTTTTTTTAAATTTAAATCCTGTTAGATCTTATTTTTAATTTTTTTTATTACATTTAGAAATTTTGGGGTTAAAATCTCGAATTGCAGTAAAAAATTTTAAAGTGTTATTGATGTTTTGAATCTTGTTGGATATCATTTCTAATTTGAATGTATGTTTAATAAATTATTAAGCTATCTTATTAATTAATTAATATCTTTTTTTATTAATAAAATTTATATGATCATAAGATTCGATGTATTAATTAATAGTATAATTGTTAATATTAATGAAGTTGATAATCTTGCATGCGATGTGCGGATCAAAGGATTGACAAAATGAGTTGAATTAAAATAAAAAAGACAAATGTCAGTAAATACGTGGCCTTGTTGAGTAGCATGTTTGACATGTGATACTTATGGTGACGGAGACGTTGACAATCAAAACTTCTGTTTTGGCTGCGTTTTGGTACATCTGTAGAAGAAGCTGCTCTTCCCGTACTGGTTCATTGTACCTTAGCGGCTTGCTAATGTTACAGGCCACTACGAAGATTCAAGTCAATTATTAATGATAATTATTTCCACTACTAACAAAACCCACTATTTCCGTGCATAACGTGATTAAATATGTAACGTGATTAAATATGCTTATGTTAAGGGTGCGTTTGGCTCCCTATTTCTACCCATATTCTTAATCCTATTCTTCAAATATTGTTTGACACATTATTTTAGAAATATTATTATATTTTTTTAATTACTTTAAACCCTTTAAGTTTAATAATTTCATAAATACCCCCCAAAAAAAGTTTAAAAATTAACAAAAATACCCCTATCAACCCATACTCGCCAGATTCTGGCAACCACCATCAGTGGTAGTTAGAATCTGTACAACAACCTACACACCATGACCAGAAATGGCTGATAGTTCACCGATCTGACCGCAAAAGGCCAGATCTAGCCGTTAGCGACAACCAAAGAAATGACCATTGTTGACCGAAAATGACGGCCATATCTTTGGCCGTCGCTGACTGCCAGAGATGGACTTCTTTGGCTTTTTTCGGCCGTCGATGACCACATTTGGCCATAGATCTGGCCTTTTCCGGCCAGATCCGATCCGTGGTGGATCTGGCCGGAAAAGACTATAGCGACGCGTTACGACATAGATCCGACCAGTCTGTGTTATAACGTAATTTTCAGGACAGATTTCGATGGTGGTGGCCAGAATCTGGTGCTGTGGGTAGTAGGGGTGTTTTGGTCATTTTATATGTTGGGGTGTCAAACATAGGGGTTTTTTTAATAAATTTTTAAATTTTACCTCGTAATACTCTCCTATTCAACTACCCAATATTATATCCAAAATCCTATTCAAATATATTTTTTTTCTTTTTATATTATGCAGTCAAAGAATGTACGTACAGTAATAAATACATACTAAAATCGAATATACAGATTCTTTTATATATTTTTATATGTCATAATTTTTTTTTGCTGCTACATCGTTTATTCATATTTATTAAGTTAATTGTTTATATGTATAATTCACTCATCAATTTATATATATATAAAAAAAAAAATTGTAAATATTCCTTAAACAAATCATTCATCAACTTCCTGGGATATTAGCCAACATATATAACAAGATAATTATATCTGAAAAATTGTCTAAAGAAATTTATTGAAATATTACAACATGCTTCAACAACAAAAATTCTCATAAATGTAATTTTTTTTAGGTTCAATTTATTTATAAAATAAATTCTCACAGCGACCAAATTGTCAATACATTAATTTATAAAATAAAAAATAAAATAAAACCTTCCAATCCTTTTTTATTCATTTATTTTTTGATATAATTTTCCAGTATGATCAGTGTTAGAGGTTATTATCAAAGTTAATATCACATATATATAATGATGACATAAGAAAACTACATTCAATAACATACTTTAATGTAGGAATTTTTCAATTTTCTATAAAACTGTGGGTTGACAAATTATATATAATATTGGATAATTGATACATTCAACCTCATTATTCCTATATATTTATTATATTTAATTAAATATATATAATATTTTAATATATCTTTAATGTTAGAAATTTCCGTAACCTTAATTATAATTTTGTTTTAATTAATACCAAAAACGTGTAGTCCAAATGAAATATTCTAATAGTTTATGTAATGGTTCTAGGAACACCAATAAACTTCATATAATAATTTGGGTTACAATTATAGAACTTGGGCTGTAATATATTTCAGGGCTTATCTGACTTTAATGGGAGAGCCAATTAACCAATGTTAAAATTGTATATATCCCATTTTCAAACATATTAGAAAAACTAACACCTATAAGTTGTCATTCAAATCGTGTTATTGGAAAGGGACACATGTCGTTGCACTCTCTGTCACTCTAATTAGAATTTCAAGAACAGGTTGTCTATAAACCTTAAATGTTAATTCAGTATTTTATAACCTGGATTTTGGGATTCTGAAATTGATTATGATTTCAATTTTGGAAATTTCTGTCATTTAAATCAAAAGAAGCAAATAAAAATCATTATAAAATATAACCTCTGTTTTGTAGATTATTAAGTGTAAAGACATAATATCTAACTAATACATTTATATATATATAAAATGCTAATAAAAATATGTCATGTTAAATTATACTAAGCATAGAATCAGAAGGTAAATTGTGTAATTAGTTCTTTTGTATTAAATGCAAAAACTCATAATTCTAAATTAAATTAAAATGCAGCAAATGAAGGTGATCAAGAGCTGAAATGTTAGTGTTAAGCGAATGAGAAGATGAGAGAAAGTCGAACTAGAAATATTCTTGTTTTTGTTATAACACTCAAACCACGTCAAATATGTGTTCTTTGACTTTATAAAAATATGAGTAAACGACTTTTTCCTACCTATGCTTTGACTTAATGATATTTTTTCTATCAAAAAGTTTCAAAATACCACTTTTTACACAAGTTTGATTCCATTAATACTCAAATAGCTTCATTTTCTCAACCGGCATTCGACGAGGATCAAAAGTCAGGGTAAAAAGGGTTTTGTAGAGCAGAAGCGGTGGATTGATTGATGGAAACTGATTAAATATTTGTCACCAAAATCAGCAAAAAATCAGCTAAGAATAGGAAACAAAACTTTGCAGTGGCCAGCAACTGGAGAGAAATAAGTGTTAGAGGAGAGGAGTTTTGTGTAGAAGAGACCAGAGGTTCAAATGGTGGTGATGAAAAGAATTTTCACATATATATAGAATGCTAATAAAAATATGTCATGTTAAATTATACTAAGCATAGAATCAGAAGATAAATTGTGTAATTAGTTCTTTTGTATTAAATGCAAAAACTCATAATTCTAAATTAAATTAAAATGCAGCAAATGAAGAGTGATCAAGAGCTGAAATGTTAGTGATTAAGCAAACGAGAAGATGAGAGAAACGTCTGAGCTAGAAATATTCTTGTTTTTGTATAAAAGAGACCGGAGGTTTAAATGGTAGTAACGAAAAGAATTTTCATCACCGGAATTAGCTTTAAGTATTACAGAATATGAAATTTGCATGGGAAAATAGTATTTTGAAGCTTTTTGGGTGGAAAAGTGTCATTAAGGCAGACCTTGGGTGGGAAAAAGTCGTTTACTCTAAAAATATTCATGAACTTAAATTTTTTCGCTTGTCACTGAGACCCAATAAAAGGATATTAAGCCCTTAATACTTTTGATTAATAGCAAATTATACCCTATTAATATTTTTGCTTTTAATACAATCACAGATAATCCACTTTTATATTTACAGTTAAATGATTATAAAAGAGTAATACAATAAATATTTTATTATTTTAAAATTCTGTATATAATTATTTTGAAATTTTCGATATAAAAATTTCTCTTAATAAGATAAATAAATATTTATAATGTTGACTATAGAAATTTTTTATTCATATATATAAATAAATATAACAATATAATACAGTAAGGAAAAGCTTTCATTATCCTGTTAAACAAACCCCAAACTGACTCACCAACAACCCAATACAATAAACAAAGCTTCAATTATCCAGAAAATGCAATTTCCGGGCTCTTCCCGGTCGCGAAGGGAGGAATTTACAGATAAATCTCGAACTCCTTCCATGTACTGCTCCAAGGTATGCGACTCAGGTAGAATATCATAACTTTGAAGCCCGTCGCTTAAGTTCAATATTGCTGACTTGTGACTCTTGATTTTTAACTTTACTCCTACCTTTTTGTATGAAGGGTTAATAGGAAGATCAGTAACAATGTCCAATCTGTTTTCGATACGCAAGAGATGAAGATTTTTGCTTTGTATATTGAATACTTTCCTGAATCCTTCGTTTCCAACCTTAGGGCTTGCAAACACGATGGCTGTGACCATGCATTCGTTTGACCCTGTCCCTGTGCGCTCATTATGTTTATTGGCAGCTATGTCAGCTGCATTTAGTGTTGCAAGCGCTGCGCCCATACTGTGACCTGTTACTGTTATACTGATTTCCTCGTTCTTATACTCAGGTTTATTTAGCAGTTTATTAACTGCATTCAACACCTATTTATAGCAATAATAAAAGAGTAATACTATGCTTACAACGTAATTTCACAATCTTCTCATATAATCCCAACATAACAGCTGAGTTAGTAATTATCACGTCAGATCCCATTATACTTAAGACACTAAATGACTTTGACTAGATACGAACGGTCATTTCTTAGGGATGAATAGTCATTCTTTTATAAGGAATATCTGGTTCCTTCATGAGAAATGATCATTCTTTATAAATAAACAATTATTTTTTCACAAAAAATGACTGTTCCTTATTAATGGAACAATAGTTCCTTATTAATAGAACAATAGTTCCTTATTAATGAATGATCGTTCGTCCCCAAAGAACGGTCGTTCGTTTATAAAGAACAACTATTCTTGTTTAGTCAAAGTCTTCAACTAACGTGATAATGTTAACTCAACTATCACGATTGAGTTATAAAAGAAGATTGTGAAATTGAGTTTTAAACATAGTATTTTTTATAATGAAAACATATCTCAACCACTCGATTATAAAACTAATTTCAAAAGAAAAAAAAGAGAAATTTTGATATGCCATGGATATGTACATGAATATGAAAAGTTACCTGGTTTCTGGCACTTGAAATATTGCTAGAAGTTTCACTATCTGGCGAAGTGTAGAGGGAGAGAAATCCTTCGTGCACAAGTATATCATCCATGTTCTGGAAAATTTTTGAAGCTGATATTTGATTAGCTTGAAGATTTTTTAACCACTCGGCCATATGAATAGTTCCTCTCCAGCAAATCATGATATCTCTCCTTCCTAACACCTCCTTTCCTTCGTCTGTGGCCACAGCCACGTAACCTATCCAAGCATATCGGTCCTTAACAATCCAGTCGATCCAGGAAACAACATCTGACATTGCATATAAATAATCGGTCACAGTGTATAACTTGCCAAAGTCGTCTGTTTCCGTGACAAGTAGTTCGGAAAATAAATCTTCCCCTTCATGGGTGGGACGTCTTTCTTTATCTTTATGCACGAAGTCATAGATGGCTTGAATTCCTTCACCACAGATATTTATAAAGATCCCGAGTTCTCTGGCGAGAGGTTTCAAAAGACCCTCCCAGTTCTTCTCCCCACTAAAGTCTTTCCAGTTCTTGCCACTGATCTGATTGTCCATCACTCTTTTTTAGTTTTATCTTTTCTTGCTCAACTATATATCTTGCGATGAGATTACACTCCTATTACATGTTATTTTTTATTGTTGTTAAGAATTATTCTATTTTTATTTATTTTTTACAAACAGGGTATCTAGATTAGCTTGTGCGAATCTTATTTAAGTTATTTCTTGAAGGAATCTATAAATATTCTTTAGGCATATAACTTGGTGTAACAAACATAGTTTTTTTAATAAAGAGCATAACAATCGGTGTAATAAACATGTAATTTGTAACAAAAGTCTAAGTAGACTTTCAACGAACTTGAAAGCTTTACCATAACTTAAACTTGTAAGAAATAAATAAATAAATAAATAAAAATTGGTATAATTAAATAGTCAACTTGCATTAAGAAAGGAAAATTATATTAAATAAATCATTTTTGGGGTCTCACTTAAAAACTGGCATGGTTCTGACAGTGTCTCAATAAATAGTTTTATCCAAAATTTCAATACTCATTAAACTAAATTGTTCAACTAAAAACCCATTAATCTATCTGTTAGCTATTGTTTTCCCGATAGAAACTAATAGGGTTTAGGTTTCTATCTTATTTTGTTTTGTTTCATGAGCCAATCAGATAGAAACCAATTGATTGGTTGACGATAGAAACCAATAGATGTTTTTATAAGTTGTTATTGGTTATTCTATGATTTCAGTTAAAAACAAAAACAAGGGTATTTTGAGTATTGAAATTTTAAAATAGAGGTATTTTCTGAAAGACTTTTATAAATAGGTTATTTCTCAACTCACATAAAATATAATTTTCCAAAAAGAAATGTGAGAAGTAAGAAGAGAGAGAGGAAAAGAAGGCGAATAGAGTAAGAGAGTTGAATAGTTGGGCAATATTTCATTAATTAAAACATAGGTATCGAATCTCCCATAAATATTTTTAAAATGTTTTTGTTAAGACATCAATTTAAGAGAATATTGTCTAACGTTTTTGAAAGGGAATCTTGAAAATATTGTTACATGTTTCTATTACTTCTTTTTCAAAATATCTATTTACGACTAATTTGTTAGAAATATTTTTTCAATATATATGTAAATAAATATTAGACATATAACTTGGTGTAACAGACATAATTTTTTTCAACAAAGAACATAACAATCAGTATAAACAAACCTTGTACATGTGAACTACCCTTAGGTTGTCGAGTTATTCTATAAGAACTCTTAGGTGTATTACTCAAGAGGTCTTGAGTTCGAGTTCTTCTTTTGTTGCGAATGAAGATAACTACTGGAGCTTTTATCTGGTCAGTAATTTAAGAGTCTCAAGCTATTAGTTGAAGTGCGCGTAAAATGGCCCAGATACTCTTGATCATTCAAAAAAAAAAAAAAAAAAAAAAAAAAAGCCTTGTACTTGTGCAATAAACAAATAATTTGTAACAAAAGTCTAAACTTGAAAGTGTTACCATAACTTAAACTTGTAAGAAATAACAAAAAACTTGGTATAAATAAATAGTCAACTTTCATTAAGAAAGAATTTCAGTAAAATATTTAAAATGTTTTTGTTAAGACATCAATTTAAGAGAATATTGTCTAACGTTTTTTAAAGGGAAATCTGTTTCTCATTGGTCAGTCTTTAAAATATTGTTCCAGGAGTTGTCACTTTAACTTTACTTTAAAATACATGTTTTTATTACTTCTTCTTCGAATACTAATATTTTTGAATACTTTAATGCATAAGAAATAATTCTCTTTAGACGGTGGAGTGGTTCGATAAGGAATTATTAAGTGTATTATTCAAGAGGTCTTGAGTCCAAGTTTTTTATCGATTATTAATAGGGGTAATCATTAGTACTTTTATCCAACCGATAGTTTTAGAGTTTCAAATGATTAATTAAAGTGCATGTAAACTAGTCTAGACACCTCTCAAAAAAACAAAATTCAAGATGATTCCTCCACTTAACAAGACAAGGAATTATCTCATTTATATATTTTTAACGTTTCCCTCACTGGTCTTCTGCGTACTGTAGCCACTCCTCCTGAATCTCAATACTAGGTAACCAAACTTAACTGTGTTCACTGTCTTGTTAATTAGTTTGTTTCCATGCTTTTGGATTTTGATTATTAGGGTTTTAGGAGTTGGGCGGTTTATAAGATTTTGAAAACTGAATAAAAAAATTAAAAAAAGCAATCTTATTTTACTTGTAATGAAGGTTTTTTTAATTTTTTTGGGGTGGCAGAATTTTTTTAGGTTTTAGGGATTTTAGTGATTGGTTACTGTGAAAATGTAGGAAAGTGAAAAATGAACCGCGAAGTTTGAGTATTTTATATTAGTGAGGAAAAGGAAAAATTAAATGAGTGATTTTATATGTGGGATTAAGGGTTTTGTACTTCTTCGCAATGGCTAGTTGAGTTTAGGGTTTTAAGGTTTTTAGTTGTTTAGTTGGTAAAGAAAACATATGAACTTTATTATGTTTAAATTTTGTTTCTTGAAAAAATGTAATAGCTGGAGATAGGGACTTATAGTCATGCGTATGTAATGAACTTTATTATGTTTACTACTGTGGATGTGAGCAGTTGAGCTTTCCATTTTCATAAAGCATTCCTTCATTTCCCCCTTTCTATAAAAAGATCAAAATAAAGCATTAGCATTTGGAAAAGTGGTAATTTTACCATTGGTTTCTAATTAAAATCAGTTCTAATTGATCTCGGAAGAAATTCTTTAATTTAAGGGATAATGGTGGTTGCTCTAAGTAGTTGTTTTGTTGATCCCCCATTTAAAAATCTATGATAGCTTTCATTTGCATTTTGCCGGTCATTGCTTCAAAATGGTATTTCTGAAATTCATATGTTCATTTGGTGCCCCTCTCTTATTCATTTTTCTAATTGGCCCTCTTAGATCCCTTGTTCAGGGTGTGATCTCAGTTGTGCTGTTGTATCAATGTTTCATGCTCGTTTAGTTGGACCTTGTTTAATCTTCTAAAAAAAAGTTAAGAGATTCAGATTCAGTATGATTTTAAGGTTGTGAAGTTGCTTTTTTGGTGTTTGTGTGTACATTGAAACATATATTTACTCTTTAAGCCTTTAATATGTAAAATCATGCTCTAAATGGTCTTAGTATAAATGTGTGGTTTAAAAAAAAAAAAAAAAAAAAAAAAAAAAAAAAAAAAAAATTATCTATTTGAAAATTCTGTGTCTCATAATTACAATCACTCTTCTATCATTGACTAACCTCATCTGTTTCTTGGTATACAGTATTTTAAGATTTATGAAGATGAAGTCTCATTTTGTTCCCATTGTATGATAGATATTACTAAAGTGTGGCCAGGATGGCTTCGGCTTATATCATGTGTGTTGCCCCAAGTCTGTGAGAGAGAAATTTACCGGCGCAATTATCAGGTTTGTTATAATGTAATTTATTTTTCATGAGAATAGGGATATGTATTTTCTGTATATATCAAGTTAGTAATTTGCACAATGACATTTAATTATAGTCTTAATTAGTTTAGAACTAGTATCAGGTTCCAATTCAGTGACGGATCCAGGAATTTCACTCGATGGGTGCAAAAAATAAACAAAAATAAATAAAATTAAACCAATCATAACTATACTTTTTTTTCATTAAGATGAACTTTAACAAAAAGTTACAAAATACAAATACATATATTCAAAAAACACAATTTTTTTACAATTGTCCTCGACGAGTTTTCATATTCTGAAAACGTTGAATAATCATCTCATCATCAGTTGTATCAAATACATCTTTCTCAATATAGGTGACCAAACAATCATTCATCCATTAATCTCCCATTCGATTGCGTAATCAATTTTTCACAAGATTCATCGCAGAAAACGCCCTTTCAATGGTCGCAATTGCAACTGGTAAAATCAATGCAAGTTTCACAAGCTTATACACCAATGGATACAAAATGTCTTTTTTAAACCAACTAAATTCTTAGCCAAATCACCAATTCCTTGTAACTTAGCAAATTCATCATAAGAACGCATGTCAATAACATAAGTCTCAACCTGGTTCTCAAGTACCATCAACTCAAATGCAGAAAAATCATATGGATAAAATTGGGCAAAACAAATCAACTTATGTTTGTCAAAAGCAGAGAATGAATTACTTGGAACTAAACATGTCATACAAAGAAGCAGCTCAGTATTAACCTCAGTGAAACGAGTGTTAAGTTCTTGAAGTTGCATATCTATCACAGTATAAAACAATTCAACTTGAAAGTGATGCAAATTTGTCATGTGCTCAACTCTCTATCATGGTCGCCCTCGAATTGCAAACATATTATCCATATTCAAAATGGCAATATCATGCTTTTGGCAAAATGAAAAAGCTTCACTCAACAAAGATTCCCATCCTTCATCTCTCAACAATTGTAACCATTGTTTGGAAACTTTGACTAAGGCCACAGCATTTATAATGCCTTGATCTTTTCTCTGCAATGCTTGTGACAACTCATTAGTAATTGCCAATATATTTTTCATCATATGTAAGTTAAATGCAAAATCAAAGGAATAGATTAAATCTAATAGATTACATGCTTCACCCCTTTGTTTAGGATTTAAACCATCTTCTTCAATAACCTCAAACACATCGCCCACAGAGGATAACAAAGGGATTAAGTTGATCAATGTATAATAATACGAGCCCAACGTGTATCACCAATTCGTTTTAGTACTTGTCTCTTGATTCAAACCTCATCCCTTGCTAACTTTCCCAATTTCTAGTGCTTAAACAAGTTTATTAACTTGGCTCTCCCGAAGCATGTCTCGACGCTTGCATGAACCTCCGACAACATTTATCAAATTAGTAACCAAGCTAAAAAACGAAGCAATAGAAATGTGATTTTTTGCAACGGCTACTAGTGTCAATTGAAGTTGGTGAGCAAAACAATGAACATAATAAGCATATTCATTCTCCCTCAAAATCAAACTTTTCAGACCATTAAATTCTCCTTGCATATTACTTGCCCCGTCATAACCTTGTCCACGTAATCTT